TTATAATCTGTGTTATCTCAAGATGACTAAATATTTATGTTTTAGTTTCCTGAATTAGGTTCTCACCATCTATTAATACTAGAACCATTTAATGTTCTTAGTTTTGGTTTTCAGATATTTTTTCTGAATATGAAATTATAATTGAAACCAGCCATTTGTGCACTTTTTTTTTTTTTTCTTTTTGGTGGATGGCTCCGCCTGCCATGGGAGCAGGGCTGGCGCAGCATGTAGTGCTGGGGATTGAACCCGGGGATCAAACTGTAGTCCCTGTGCTTTGCCTACGCTTGCCTAAGCAGGCGCTTTAGACTGCTGAGCTATCTTGCTGGCCCTTGTGCACTTTAAAAAAAACAAGGTTTTAAGTCCAAAAAATGTTACTCAGTGGTAGAGTGCCTCACATGTGTGGGGACCAGGTTTAAATCCCCAGTGCTTGGAAGAGAAAAAGGGATCTTGTGAGTTTCTTTTTCTCCATGTTGTATGACTACGTACCATAGGTATCTAGGCTGTGCTCACAGCCACACACACAGTTAAGTGATGGCTGCCAGGGTTCTGTTTTCACCTTTCTAAATCAGTTGGGAAATCTGTTGTGTAGTAAGTTTGTACTTGGTTGTCTGATTTCTTGAGAGTCACTGAACAGAGCTTGACTTTGGGGGATTCTAAGAGTGCTTGCTTGAGTTTTGCTTTTGCATCCTTTCTCTCTGCACTTCTCATGTGAATCATGTTTCAACACAATGTGATGTCTTGGAGTATTAGAAACATTCATTGTGGGCCAGGGAGATGGCTCAGTAGAATAAGTGCTTCCCTGGCAAGCCCAAGTGTCTGAGTTCATTCCCCGGTTCCACAAAAAAAAAACCTGAGGCGAAGGAATACAGTCTTTTGTTTTGTTTTGTTTATTGTGTTTCCCTGAATACATAAAAAAAAAAAAAAAAAAGAAAAGAAACCTTCATTGTATTTCAGCTAACAATCTTATTTGGGTCTTGGGTAGGTGAAGAAATAACTCGAGAAGCTAAAAAAGCACGGAAGGCTGGTGGCCTTGCAGGTAGCAGTTCCGACGACAGTGGAAGTGAGTCTGATGCCTCGGATGTTGAAGAAAGTGACTATGAGAGCTCGAAAAACTTGAGCTCTGGGGATGACGACGACTTCAACCCCTTCAGAGATGAGTCTAGTGAGGGCGATGAAGATGGTGAGTCCATCCTTGGAGGTGGATACTGGCTGGCCTTGCTACAGGAGACTGGAACAGGCGTGCTGCATTCCAGCCTTCTTTCTGTATAGCACAGAGCGTCATGGAGATTCTAACCTTTATTCAGTGGAGAGCTCTAGAATGTTCTTTTTTTTTTTTTTTTTGCGGAACCAGGGATTGAACTCAGGCCCTTGCGCTTGCCAGAGAAGCGCTTATTCCACTGAGCCATCTCCCCAGCCCCTAGAATGTTCTATCTGTTGGCCTTATTGGTGAAATTTTGATCTCAGTTTCATGCAGTTACTTATTTTTGTTAGCCCATCTTTATAGTGCATGATGATGGCAGTTATCATGGCAGGCTGGTGCTGTGCCATTGAACTAGATGTGTGTTCTATTTTAACCAAGAATTTGCCATACATTTTTCTTTCAGATCCGTGGTTAATCAGAAAAGACCACAAGAAAAACAAAGATAAAAAAAAGAAGAAAAGTATAGATCCAGATTCAATTCAAAGTGCCTTATTAGCATCAGGTCTTGGCTCAAAACGGCCTTCTTTTTCATCTACACCAGTTATTGCACCTGCTCCCAACAGTACACCAGGTAGCCATGTAGAAGCTTGCTTTGTCTGAAATACGCTTTTACATAAAGTAAACTCTGCAGTGACTTTATGTTCTTTCCCTAGTGAACAGTAACTCCAGCAGTAATAGTAGCCTTATAACAAGTCAGGATGCTGTGGAGAGGGCTCAGCAGATGAAGAAAGATCTGCTTGAGAAACTAGAAAAGTTAGCTGAAGACCTCCCTCCTAATACGCTGGATGAACTTATCGACGAGCTGGGAGGCCCGGAGAATGTTGCTGAGGTAAACCTTACTTGATCAGGGCTATGTTAATTTTTTGCTTCTTTTTAAAATCTTATAAAATGAATGGTAGTCAAACCTTGTGTTATGGGTGTTATTTTGGGTATCATCACAGTGGCCTGTCTAGTTTCATCTTGTAGATTTTAGAACCGTTATTTCACTGTAGTTATTCCTCAAAAGCTGTTAGAGTCTTTGTCCCCAGTATCTGAGTTTGCTGAGCCAGTGGTCTTGACTACCACCCTTGTGGTACATTTGTGTGGTTGTGGCCGTGTAGTAGCTCTTCCCAGGGACCTTGTTGCGTGTACTGTGTCCCTGGGACCTGGTGCTAGCACCAGGATGTCCTCAGTGAAGTAGGTGATTCTAAATTTTTTTGCACGTAGTCATGATGTTGTTTGGCTTTTCAGATGACTGGCCGCAAGGGACGGGTCGTAAGCAACGATGATGGAAGCATATCTTACGAGTCAAGATCGGAACTGGACGTGCCTGTAGAGATACTAAATATTACAGAAAAACAAAGGTTTATGGATGGAGATAAGGTATATTTCTGCAGGAGGCTTTTGAGTTATCAGGGTCTTGAGGGTTTTTTTTTGGGGAGGGGGGACATTGAACCGGGGATTGAACTCAGGCCCTTGTGCTTGCCAGGGAAGAGCTTATTCTACTGAGCCATCTCCCCGGACCCCCAGGATCTTGAGTTTGAGGCCATCTTGGAAGGCAGCTAAGCTCACCACTATACTACCAACGCTTGAGGCCATCTTGGACTACATTTTGATACCCTATTACAAAAACAAAAGCAATCCCAAAACAAAAGATGCTAAATCTCATCACATTTACTGACGTGTGATTTTTTTAGTCTAGAGTGATACTCAGAAGTACCTGAAATTACTAGTATCCTATGTGTTCACTGTTTTACTTAGTGCCGTGCTGTGCGCGCGCTCTCTCTTTTTCTCTTCTCTCTCTCTCTCTCTCTCTCTCTCTCTCTCTCTCTCTCTCTCTCT